TTTTGCCCTCCCCCCTCTATTTTTAAAGAGTGGGCAACCAGCACTGTGACTCTGTAAAGTGAGAGAAAAACTGAATTGTGGCTAAGGACTCCTGTAGTAAGGAAAGGCAGCCAGAACACAGCAAAAATGGCCACTTGTCAGATTTTATAGCTAACTGCTATTGAGCATATTCACTTACAATAAAGCATGCTCATGAACAATGGTAGCGGCTGTCCTACAAGTAGGCAGTTGTGATAGGTGGATGTTTTGTTGCCCTAATCAATATTAAATGCCACTGGCAGTTAAAATTGATGTGTTTTTGTTTCTTTGTTTTATTGCTACACAAGTCATTGTACTATGTGAAGAAATCTAGTTGCCTGAGGACCTCCTCCAATTGTTTTCAATTTTCTAAGCTTGTAGCAGTTTGTAGGCTTGCATGGTAGCTTATGCCATCCTCTCTGGTGCATTCACAAAGGCAGAAACTTTTTAAAAGGCTTTTGAGGGCTATATTTAAACTTTTAGCTTCCAAAGCAATGATTCACACTGCTGTCATATTGAATTTTTAGACTTTCTGGATGTTTTTTAAGCTTTTGTGATTTTTAGCTTTCACTAAGTAAAGGATTATTTACAAATAGTATGTTCTATTAAACAAGGATATGCTGGGAAAAACTTACACTGAAACAGTGTTCTTTTTAAAGTTCTTAATAGAAGGCAGTTATTAAAATTTACTTTTGAACAAATAATGCATTCCTATTCTTCTTGCTCTTGGTATAATTGGATTGGGGGGACTAAAATGTAAACTTCATTACTATTGTCTTCAGTTATAGAAGAAAGGCTGAAGATTTTTCAACATAATAGCTGTATTTAGGTGTAGTAAATGAAGACTGATGTGTTGTAAAGTTGTCACCTGTATCTATTTAATTCTGTTGACTTACAAGTAAAAATAGGGTTTTGGTTCCTTGTCTAGCACCACTTTAAATGTAAAGAACGTTAGATATTAGCAACATAATTATAGTAGTACAAATTTTGTTGCAAGGGAACAAGAGTTCTGTTCAGTGCCCATGAAAAACAGGCAGGTGGCAGAATAACACAAATGATTATATGTATCTTTGACTGAAATGCTTCCTCTCATTCCTGTTTGCTTCCTTCCTCTACTCTAGTTATCAAACACATGACAAGGCAGCTTCTGTTGGTCATTTTGCCAACTTAAATTCTTCAAACATTGCCTCCCTCTGTTTAAACAAAGAGAAGGAAGTGAACTGTCTTCTATAGCACTCTTCCCTTTTATAACTAAATTCTTTTCATTTCATTTGTGAAAGCAGCAGTCATACAGGCTAGTTTTAATTGAGGGCTCTGTAAAATGTAGTCTATATACAGCCATCTTTATCTCATGTCTGGAAATAGAACTTAGAAATCTTTTCCATCTTCCAGAGAAAGAAAAAAATGTTAAATCTTCTTGCTTGTTGTATTTGAGGGCAAATACAAGGCCACTTTTGTGCTGTGAACTATTTATTTATTTATTTGTTTGTTTGTTTATTATTTTGATTTATAGCCCTCCCTCCCCGCAAGCGGGCTCAGGGCGGCTCACAAGTAGGGCACATGCCAATACATAAAACAGGTTAAAAGCAACATGAAAACAGTCATTTACAATATTACAAAGTGCTCTAGATGTTTCAAATCAGTCTTCAATAAAAAGATGGCATCTTGAAGATGGTACTCCCAGTTCAGTGGTGTCAGCTCCACGCAGCGCTGTCATTCACTCCTCACAGGGCCAGTTGGTAATGGTGGTAAAAGTAGTGGCGGCTCCTACTCAAAAGCCTGGCGGAAGAGCTCCATCTTGCAGGCCCTGCGGAACTGCGCAAGGTCCCGCAGGGCCTGGATCTCCTCTGGGAGCTCATTCACCAGGTAGGAGCCACCACCGAAAAGGCCCTGGCCCTGGTTGCAACAAACCTGGCCTCCTTGGGGCCTGGGATCACCAGGAGATGTTGCATCCCCGACCGTAGTGCCTGTTGGGGAACATATGGGGAAAGGCGGTCCCTTAGGTATGTCGGACACTGGCCATAGAGGGTTTTAAAGGTAAGAACCAGCACTTTGAAGTGAATTCAGTACACTATTGGCAGCCAGTGCAGCGCTTTCAGAACAGGCTGGATGTGCTCCCGCCTAGGGAGGCTCATCAAAAGCCTGGCTGCAGCATTCTGCACTAGCTGCAGCTTCTGGATTTGCGACAGAGGCAGCCCCATGTAGAGAGCATTACAGAAGTCTAACCTTGAGGTGACCGTCCCATGGATCACTGTGGACAGGTCATCACGCTCGAGGAAGGGGACCAACTGCTGAGCCAGCCGAAGATGGTAAAAGGCTGACTTAGCTGTGGCTGCCACCTGGGCCGCCATAGTTAGCGAGGAGTCCAGGAGCACTCCCAAACTCCTAACCACCGGTGCTGGCACCAAAGGCGCCCCATCGAAGGTTGGGAGAGGGAGCCCCAACCCCAAACTGCCCCGATTCAGGCCCAGGACCTCCGTCTTCACCGGGTTTAGTTTCAGCCGACTCAGTTGGAGCCAACCAGCCACTGCTTGCAACGCCCGGTCCAGATCTTCTGGGCTGGAGTCCGACCAGCTGCCCAACATCAGATAGAGCTGGGTTTCATCTGCATATTGATGACACCCGAGCCCATACCTCCAGGCAATCTGGGCAAGGGGGTGCATGTAGATGTTAAACAACATCGGGGGAAGCACCGCCACTTGAGGCACCCCACATTCAAGAGGATGTTTCCGGGACTGCTGTTCCCCTATCACCACCCTTTGTCCCCGACCTTGGAGAAAAGAGGCAAGCCATTGAAGGGCGAGCCCCTGAATCCCCACGTCGGCGAGGTGGTGGGTCAGCAACTGGTGGTCGACCATATCGAACGTGGCCGAAAGATCTAACAACAACAGTGCCACCACACCGCTCCGATCCAGATGCCTTCGGAGGTTGTCAGTAAGAGCGACTAGTACTGTCTCTGTCCCATGCCCCGGGCGGAAGCCGGACTGGAAAGGATCTAGGATGGAAGCGTCATCCAGAAAGCCCTGTAACTGTAATGCCACCACCCTCTCAATCAGTTTGCCCAAATAGGGCAAATTGGACACCGGCCAATAGCTAGCCAATTCGGCCGGGTCCAAAGAAGGTTTTTTCAAGAGAGGGCGGACCATCACTTCCTTGAGTGCCCCTGGGAACTTGTTGATAATCTCCCTTAGGGCACCTCGCAACCCCTTGAGACCCGCTCTAATAAGCCAGGAGGGGCACGGATCAAGGCTACACGTGGTTGGGCGCACTGATGCGAGCAATCTAAAATAATCCATATTCAGTGCTCAGAATAAATTCAGCAAAATAGTATATTTGTTTCCAAGATTCATATCTTCAGTAAATAAAAACTAAAATTTGTGCACCTCTTTCTCTTTTGGGGAGCGGTGGAAGACAGTTTGGGGAACTAGGGAAGGATACAGCAAGTAGGAAACTAAAAGGGACTGAGAAGCAAGGGCTGTTCTTAAATCAAAGAGAAGAGCAAATTAGTTCCTTGACAACTGGAATTTCTATCCCTGTGATACTCACTCTACAGCTTGGGAGCCACATGTGGCTGCTTAACAGCTCCCCATGGCTCTTTTGAACGAAACAGGTGCTATCCTGTGTCCAAGAAAGTGGGCAGGGCTATTGCTCTGCAAGGATTTTACTTGGAGGTGGTTCCTGTATTGAATAAGTCACCACTGCAGATAACAGAGAACTGGTAGAGGTAGGGGCAACTAAAATGGCCCTGTTCCTTCTCCTGATGGAGGGTAACTCAAGCAAGGTTGCGTTTTTCTGCCTGTCTCTGCTCTTCCTTGTCCAGACACCCCTTCTGGCAGTTGCCCGCTGCTGACCCAGTCAGGGGCAGTCACCTTTGGGGCCACTCAGGCATGGATGATCCAGCATTGATGGGCTTAGGCAAATACAGTGAGGCCAGGCAGTGTACCACTGGCTTCTATCCAGTAACAGAGTTCTCACCTGCCTTCTTGCCTTTCACCTGGCAGTGGCATCCTGACTAGCCCAGCAATGGCAAGGCTAGGCACTTTGCTTGGCAATAGCAGACTTACCCATCCAACCCAGTGGCAGCCTGCTTGTCCGCTTCCTGACCTGGCAGTCTCAGGCCCAGGCAGGTGTGCTAATTTCCCAGTCAGCCAACAGCAGCAGCCTCACCAACCAGTTTGCCTGAGCAGCCCGACTGGGAGAAACCAGGCACTGTACCACCAGACTGTGTCTGACAGTGGCAGCCTCTCCTCACTCCCATGGCAGCATCCTCTCTAGGCAGCTGGCAAGGCCTGACACTGTGCCATCAGTCTGTGCCCAGTGATGACATTATTGCCTGCCTTTTCAGCTCCCAACCACCCTGACAGCAGCATCCTCACTTTCATGCTTTCCTCCTGGGCCAGGTTGGTGGTCTTAGGGGCAGTGGCCATCCAGGCTAATGGTCCACTGGAATTTTTCCTAGTGGCCGTAATGGTCAATCTGCCCTGTGCTAGGGATGAAAATAAAGGCACCCCCCATCTTCTACAACAACCTCTCCGTCACACCCTGTATAAACCCAGCACCTTCAATTTCTGTCTCCAGCACAGAACCCAATCTCACTGAGATTGTATCTCAGAGGGACAGTCATGTATCATACTGACTGACAGGTAATTAAATGCAAAGGCCATTGAGTTGTATATTTAGTATTGGTATGTATATCTTTACTATTATTGTATGTGTGAGGATGATGGCGCGGTGTTTAGGTCATATAGAAATCATGTGGCTTTTTATGGGAATTGTGGCTGTCTATCAGCCTCAGAGTGAGTGCCACTGTTGACAGTTGGGAAATATTTGCACAAAACAAAGTTTGTTTTACAACATAATTACTATTTTGATGTTTCCTAGTTTATTTGCAAAGCTAAAATAATCTGATTTCCTTACATGTATTTATGACATGCTTATAAAACTTACACTATATTTATAAAATTTGTCCTCTTTTCTTCCAGGCTGTTGGCTGCTATGAATCGCTCATATTAAAAGCAGAAGGAAAAGTTGAATCTGATTTCTTTTGCCAGTTAGGTCACTTCAACCTCTTATTGGAGGATTATCCAAAAGGTAAACCCATTGTAATTTCTTTTATCAGTCTTTGTTTAGGATCAGAAAAATGCTACATACATGCCCTTGTGTTTCAGACAGTATAATATGCTTGCAGTTTACATGATGTGTATAAACCATGGCTTAATTAACATTTTCTGTGCTCTTTTGGTGAATAGGTAAATGGCTTCAGTTTTCTCTTAATCTGAATGCTTTTGATACTAGAACATTTTTGAATCTGCTGAGTGTAACTCACATCTAGATGGTAGTGAATTTCATATTTGTAGTAATTTCCTCTTGAAGACTGCTTACATTCATATTTAAATTTTTTTTTAAAAAAGACTCTGAAATATAAGATCCCCTGTGGGACATATTTACATAACAAACTTTAATTTTGGTAATTGTAACTTCCATAACATTTCTTGGAGAATCCTCGAAGTTATAGTTTGGTAAGCCTGCTGAGAATTAAAGATCCTGGACCCTGCTCACAGTACTTCAATTCCCAGAGTTTTCTTAAGACAGGAACTATTAAATTAATTTGTGATATACAAGCATGGACAGCTTCAAGAGAGAATTAGATAAGCATTATGGAGCAGAAGTCCATCAGTGGCTATTACCCGCAAGGTATAGATAGGAACTCTCAGGCTGGGGCAAGTGATGCACTATATTCTTGGTGCTTGGGGGGGGGGGCAACAGAGGGCTTCTAGTGTCCTGGCCCCACTGGTGGACCTCCTGATGGCACCTGGTATTTTTGGCCACTGTGTGACAGAGTGTTGGACTGGGTGGGCCGTTTCCTAGCCTGGCTTCTCTAATGTTCTTATGCAATAAAGCATTTTTTGTAGAGATACACTTAATGCACTGCCTTACTTAAATTATATAAGAACATAAAAAGTGTGAAGTACTTTCTTAAATTCCAGAGGCTGTTTTTGTTTTGCCTTTTTATTCCTTGCTTTAGAAGGATTCCGGAACACATGGGGGAAGTGATATAGAGGGGAAAGCCTTATTCTGAAATGGCATTTTAATTTTTTTCTGCACTTCTCCTGAGGTGCTTAAATACATTTGCCTTCATACCCTGCCTTTCTTGCAGTATGAAACTCAAGGTGGCATACAGTGTATTCACAAACTCACTTTAAATTTTATATCATTTTAACTGTCATAATTTTCTCAAAGAATCCTGAAGTTGTAATGCATTAATGGCTGCTGAGAATTCAAGATCCTTAGCCCCTCACACAGTACCTTAGTTCACAGGGTTCCCATTAGGAGAGGAGCTATGTTAACAGGGAGTCTCCCATTCAGGCTTTAATCAGACCCAGGCCTGCTTAGCTTCAGCAAAGTTACTGTATCATGGTGCTCCAAGCATGCTCTGAGACCCTAAAATATAAAGCCAAAAGCCATTTTTCTTGGTATGTTATTTGAACTGTAATTAACAATTTGCTTTTATCCCGTTTGTTCTTAAGACAGAATACTTAAACATTTTAGACATGTATGAATGTTTTATTTTTATACCAAATATAAAAGCCCAGCTGGATCAGACCAAAGGTCAGTCTAAGTGAATAAATGAGTGTGTGTGTAAATGGTGTAATCTGATACTACATTCGCTCTGAAAAATATTTTAGAAAGTGATTAATTAAGGTTACCCTGTAGCTATATTCAAACGACTGCTTTTCATGCATGCTTTAATTTCTGTTCCCTGTATGACAATTAAAAGTTTAAGGGAACAGTAGTCAATACATTGTGGTATTCACATTGTCGTTTATTTAAAATAATACAGAGCCATTCATGTGAGGTTATAATCTACATATGTTTATGCTGACAAAGTACTGCTGGCTCTATTTTAACTGAGGCTAAGAGGCTGAGATCCATCTGTGGGAGTTCTTTTCTCTCTCTTGTCCCCACAGCAGTGTGTCCCACAGGACACAGTTGTTCACATTAACTGTGGTTATTGTTAACTAGGTTTCCCATGTAACTTAAACTGGAACCCACTGTTAATCTGTGGATATGGATTCTTGTTAAATAGAAACCCGGATTACATTTCTTTTAAACAAAGTTAACCGGGGAGTGGAGAATTTACTCCCAAGAGGAAAATGCTGGGAGAAGGAAGAACCCTTCCCAGGTTGGATTCTGAACTGTTAAACACCCAACCTGTAACTTGTTATAAACCTAAAACTTCAATTTTATTTAAAAAAAATCTTTTGTATTTCAGCATTATCTGCATACCAGAGGTACTACAATTTACAATCTGACTACTGGAAGGTTTGTATAGATCTGTAGTTCTTCAAATTAATATGGTGTTATACTGTGCCTCATTTTTATACCTAGGAAGTTTCATGTGTTAATAGCATATTTTGCTTTTAGAATTGCCTGCTGTGCTATTTACCACATCCCAAACTGCCTGTGTGTTTTTCTTTTGGATTGTACCATCTTTTTTTGCACACATCCTATCTGTACTAAGCAAATGAAGGGGTTTTGCCTGTTTAATGGAAGCTTTTCTTTTCCAGATCACCAATAAATATGTTAATACTGGCTCTCACCTATGGTTTGCAAATAAATGGGGAGCCAGCCTCAGGTGTATGTGCTTTCCTCCCAACAACCTTCCCTTTTATGGTGTCCATTTATTTCTTTTGGTGTCAATTTATCTCTTGCTCTCTCTCCTGCCCCAGATTGAGGCAGTTGGTTGACACAGATGTAGTTGGGCTCCCAGCCTTTGACGAGGCCCCATTGGTACCAACACTGAAGGTAAAGAGCCTAGAGGTGTTCCTGGATGCTTCACTGACTATGGAGGCCCAGGTCACTGCCACTGCCAGGTCTGCCTTTTTTCATCTGAGAGCCCCATACCTCACCCCTCACAATCTGGCTGCTGTGACCCATGCAACGGTCAATTCCAGACTAGAGTATTGTAAATCTCTCTACGTGGGGCTTCCCTTGACTCTGTTTTGGAAGTTGCAGCTAGTGCAGAACGCAGCAGCGTGGTTGTTGATGTCTCTGTTTGTGTGGGCACATATCCGCCCGGTGCTGCATGACCTGCACTGGCTGCCTATTGAATACTGGGTCTTTGCATTGAATAAGGTGTTGTTGCTTACCTTTAATGCCCTATACAGTCAGGGGCCTGCATACCTTCAAGACCACCTCTCCCCATATGAGCCCCCATAGAACATTTGCATTCTACGAACCAGTACCTCCTGGTAGTCCCTGGGGATGTCTGACTTGCCTCAACTAAGGCCAGCGCCTTTTCAGCCCTGGCCCCTGCGTGGTGGAATGAGCTACCTTCCAAGATCAGGGCCCTGTGGGACCAATTACAGTTCCACAGGGCCTACAAGATAGAGCTCTTCTTCCAGGACTTTAGTTTTTTTGTTTGTTTGTTTTTTAAAAAATTTGGTTCCTTTTAAAATAATCATTAACAACAATGAACATCAAAAGCATTAAACTAGCAACAACAAGAGATAAGGATCAAGTAGCATCAAAAGTCTATTATGTAACAGTAAAAACTATTTTAACATTTTGAACATTTAACAACCAATAATGAAGAGTATGAAGTGCTGGTAATTATGTTACCCCTGTCAGAAAAGCGAGTGTGAGGACTAGATTAGAACTGGATCTTAGATGCAGAAGACTTTTGTGTGTATCTCAGAGTGTACAATAGAGAGCTAGAAGAAAAGCCAATAAGAGTAAGTAGTATTAGTGGGAAGAAGTTCAGCTTCTCTCATGTACTGCAGCCATGGAAACCACATGCGTACAAACCTAGAGTAGGTCATGGTGGTGCTAGATCGTTGCCTTTGAAGTGAGTCAAAGATTTTGCACGTAATAAACTGATCCCATACTTTATGTCTCCACATGGTCAGCGTCGGAGGAGAGGCAGACTTCCAGGTGGTAGCTATGGCCAGAGGCAGTGGGCCTCCACTTTGATTTGGCCTCCCCTCTAGTGACTGCAGATCCTAGAAGCCAATTGAGACCATAATATTATCTGTTGAGGGGTGCTGTTGTTTTAGTGCGTTGAGATTTTACTGATTGTAATGGATTGTTTAATATGTTTTTAATTGTGCATTAATTGCAGATCTGTATGTTGGTACCTGCCTTGAGCCTACAATGTGGGGAGGGTGGGATATAAGTCCAATAAAATAAAACTAAATAAATAAATGAAGTAATAAATAAAAAGCTATGCATTTTGCCCCTTAAAACAGGATCTTAAACATGGAGTGTGCAACTTGAACTGCTAAAACTTCTGATGTCTTGTGCATTGTTAAATCTTGGCAACATAGGCCCTATTTGTACATATCGCAAGTGTATGGGCGCTGTTTCCTTATGGCAAGATCCCATATTAATTTGGTACATAGAAAGATGCCAGAATCATGTGGACAGAGCTAATTGCAAGGCTTTTGATTGTCATTTGGCCTGGAAGGAGAGGGATTATGTGTATCAGTTACATGCTAAACTGGCTCCATCTTTGTGCTATAAATCTGTGTATCCCAGAAATTCATTGCTGGGTTTCCACTGTATATACATAATTTTTCTGCGACAGGATTTCTTTCGTCACTGTAAGGCAGTCCCTTCTGTTAAAGTGAAAAGGAACCCATGCAGGAATTTTATATGTTGGACTTCTGAAATTATGTAGTTAGGTGGTGATGTGTATAACAGTCATTGTAATAGAAAATATTGTGTCTGATTGCATAAAGTCTGCCATAAATTTTTGTTTGAGGTGTTTGGTGATTTTGCCATTTTAAGTTAGTTTTTATATTAGAGAATTGTGAACATCGATGTGTTTGCAACATTGAAGCCTTCCTGATCTATGGGGAAGGACCGTAGAGCATATGCTTTGCATGCAAAAGGTCCTTGGTTCAATCTCTGGCACCTCCAGTTCAAAAGGCATTAGATGATGTGAATATCTGTGCTTAAAATCCTGGAATGCTGTTTCCAGTCATGGTAAACAACATTGACCTCGATATGCCAGTGATCTGACTCAGTATATGGCAGCTTCATGTTATATCATTGCTCCATTGATTTTTGACTTTAATTAAATTTACAGAACATTTGAGAGATTGCATTAATATGGTAATTGGACCCTTGATTATCCAGAATGTTGGCATTATCCAGATAGCAAGTTCCTGCCCCTCAGCTACCATACTTCTGCATTTTGGACATGTACACTTCCTACTCCTGCTTGGTGCCTCCAGCTGTTGCTGGGCTTCTGACAGTTGGCAGTGCCTGTTTACACGATCCTTTGGTGCAACTTGCCTCAAACTATTGGAAGCCAGGTCTGCTGAAGGACTCCTAGGCAACTGTTCTGTTTGTTTGCCTGCTGTGTAGCGTGACTCCATTGCTTGGGGGCAGGTGGAAGGGTCCCACCAGGTATTCCAGCTGTTGCTATGGCATTCCCAGTGGGTTGAGGTTTGGTTGCTGCAGATTCCTCTGGGACAGAGCGATAAACCTAAGTATTTGATTAACCAGCAACTCCTATTCTCCATGAGTGCAGATAACAGAGCTTTTATTGTACTACCTTTGCTTACTTTTAGAATTTACTGAAGTGTCGAACAAACATATCCATCCTTAATTTATTTCAGGCTGGAGAGAGGAATCTATAGGTTAGACTTGTAAATTGCCATTCACCTGTTTGCCAGCTTTTTGGCAGGGGGTTGTAGCAGGAAGGGGTGGGGCTGTGGCTGAGTGGTAGAGCATCTGTTTGGGACACAGAAGGTCCCAGGTTCAAACCCAGCATCTCCAGTTTAAAGGATGGGGTAGTAGGTGATGCGAAAGACCTCTACCAGAGATCCTATAGAGCCACTGCCAGTCTGAGTAGACAGTACTGACTTCGAAGGACCAATGGTCTATGTCAGGATAAGGCAGCTTCCTGTGAAAACTTGTAGTGTAGATGGTAGTCAGGTCATAGTTCTTTGGATCAACTATCTAAAAGTTTAGCAAACAGTAATATGAAACATATTTTACTATTTCTTTCTAACATTCTTAATTACATAGGCTTCTAATACATTCACAGAATGCTTCTCCACTTAGTGGAGAAATATCTCTGTTTCCCTAGAGGCAAGCTTTATGCTGCATTTATCAATCTTCAAAAGGCCTTTTATTCTGTTTAGGCAAATCTTATGGGATAAATTAGACAAGACGACTATAGACCACTAATACGTAAACTCCAGCAATCGAATACTTGCCAAGTTAGGTTTGGCAAGAAGGGCCTTCTAACCCATAAAAAACCTGTTTCAAAGGGCGTGAATCAGGAATGTGTATTAGCTCCAGCTTTGTTTAACCTTTTCTTATCTGATCTCCCTACACATCTTGCAGTAACAGATGGACACGCCCCCAAACTGAATTCTCTATACCCATCTTACTGTATGCAGACGATGCCGTGGTTCTCTCTACCACCAGAATAGGACTCAAGCGTGTCTTAGGAAAGTTTTCCTCCTATTGTAAACAGAATTCTCTTATAATTAATTATGGGAAAACAAAAATCCTGGTTTTCTCCAAGGTGTGGAAACGCAACTTGTGGAAAATTGACGGGAGGGAAATTGAGCAAGTCAGATCCTTTAAGTATCTGGGGTTTTTGTTTCATTATAATTTAAAATGGTCCTTCCATTGGGACCAATCGCTCCTATTGGCTAAAAACAGGATTTTGGCTATCACCCATTTTTATTACCAAAAGGAAAGCAGTTCATTCCATCTGCTCTTTGAATTTTCCAGGCCACAGTAGTCTCTCACCTACTGTATGGAATTCCTGTATGGATCCAGAGCTTCAACAAAGACATTGATCGAATTTATGCAGACTTCTTGCGACGCATTCTTGGATTACCTAACTCTGTTACCTATTATTCCCTCTATGCTGAACTGGGCCTTCATCTTCTAGACTCGTGGACATGGATCACCACTATTAAATATTGGCTTCGCATTCATTTTAGTGCCCCTCAGAATAGCCTTATTACACACTTGACTATGGACTCATATGTATCCAAGTGGGCACAGGCTATAACTTCTAAAATACGCTCAGTTGGCATCAACCTGAATAGTTTGGAAAATCAAGATGAGACCTTTATATATTGGACAATTTGTAGAAGAATTTGGGACATTGAAGCCCAAACAATCCAGGCAGGTGTCAGGGGCACTTGTTCCCCCCTTTCCCTTGGCCTCAGATATGTACCAAACAATATGGCACAATACTATTCTAATTTGGTGATCCCACTGCAATGCAGAGCCTTTATGCTAGCCAGATTTAATGTTTTTCCCTCATCTTGGGTCTCAGGTAGATATAGAGG